TATATATATATATATGATATGCAAACACAAAAGATCATATATGAAAAACACATCTTTTTTAAGTTAGAACAAGCGGGAATTTATTGGTGTGAAATGGGAGATATTGTGGGACTAATTCACTATTTACACATCGATAGCGAAGCCGAAGATCTATATTCAAATATAACATCTCATAGGCCGCAAATGGCATTAGTTGAAATAATGGATTATAAGCTGAAGATTTATACTACTTGGACACTTTGGAGTCCCTGTTCTGTATGCAATGCAGTTGGTATAAAGCTTCGATATGGTTACTGCACTATTTCCCTTTTAGAAACATCAGTAAACAGATATTTCATTGACAAAAGTATATTAATAATTGATAAGTATTACAAAATGCAAAGGTAAATAAAAAGCAGTTCTTTTTATATATGTTTTTTCTCGCTAATTTTACTTTAAGCTGAAGCATATGAGCGGAATCAAATGCATGAAAATACAATTCAACAAACAACAAAAACAAATTCAAGTTCGAAACTTCAATTAAGAACGGCATTATTATTATTTAAAAATAAAATACCATGTAAATCGAGTCTTGTGCCAAAACAAATACAATTAATGCCGATTATTAAGAACAGAAGCACCAAAATTATGAGACGATATTGCAAGGTATTCACATTAAACTGTATTAAAGCTCCTGGTTCCTTCCTGTAACTATATTGAATTATAATGTTAGAAGAAAGAAGTATCATATGAATTTTCTTTTTTGTATTATATATGAAAAAAAGGGGGAAAAAAAAGAATTTCTTTGCATGCCACCATTCGCATGCGTTCAATAGTATAGATTAATAAAATATGTCAAAAACTCCTTTTTTTAATTTTGAATAAATAAATACAATTCAATTTACACATGTGTTACATATTTATTATATATTTACAGTAAAATCTTTTATGACAAACTTTCTTTTGTCGATCAAAATTTAGGACTATTTATTAATTCATAAAGAGAAGAGGTAGAAATTTTCAATTCTCAGAATATTTTAGCAAATTATATGAATGTTAAAAAGTAGTATACATATGTATAAAAAAAAACTATTTTAATATAAAGGGGAAGAATTATATAACATGCAAGAAAAAAATGTTTTCATGATTGATGTTATAAATTAACATGATTGCAATAAGGAACCAAAAACTTTAACAAGAATTCAATAAATAAGAAAAAATAGATAATTATTATGCAGAAAAAATGCCAAAAGAACATGATATTTGAAGTGCGTGATGAAAGAGGAAACATTCTCGAAAGTGCGAATAATAGTGCTGGTATATATTCTATGATTCAAGGAATACCTCAACCATTACCATCAATCACACGTAATGTGATTTATGAAAAATATAATAAAAAGATCAAACTCATCTGTCCAGGGTAATATAATACTTACAAAATTAACTGCAAAGACTATTCAATAATGATAAAAATAAAAAACAATACAATTTTGTTCATACTTTAGAAATCTGAATGCAGATATCCCAATTGTTTGGAACATTGGTAACAAATCGATTATTCCATCTCACATAAAACTTCAATCAAATGGAAGAATTCATATTAATTCTCAACTTCATATATTATTTGAATCCTTAAAGTTTGAAGATTCAAATATATATAGGTAAATCAAATTTCCCCTGGACAAATAAGAGCCAATTATGGATAATAATGCATAAATATTGTAGAAAAAATTAATTTTTTTTAGAACTAAATAGTTGTGTACAAGGCATAAATTTTTTTTAGTACGATACCAAGTGTTTAAAATAATCTCGTTTTACTAAACATTTTGTTTATTAAAAATAAAAATCTTCAATTTTGTAAAATCATTTTAATTAACTATTTATAGTTTCTAAAAAAATTAATTTTCTATAAAACACACATTATTATTTTTAATTGGGTTTTATTTGCCATGGAAAAATCTAAAAAAATTGTGATTTTTACTTTATAGAACCTCGATCAAATTATTTAAATCCGAAATTTATTAGTCAAATCTGTAAATTGAATAACATTTAAAAATTGATTTTTATTATTAGTTGCTGGCAAAGTAATGAAATTGTTGGAATAATAAAATTGAATGTGATTGGAGAACTAGAAATCAAACTGAATCATCATGTTATTTTAATTGGCGCCATCTTCATAATTAGCATAGTTTTAATAATGTTGTGGAGAGCATTCAAAGGACGGACGCGATATACAATGCATTAGAATTTTGTAATGATGTAAAATCACTTGTATCAACAATTTGTAAAATGTGCATGTATACACATACAAAAGGTAATGAATAATTTTCCATAAATACAGTGGAACCTTGAAATAATGTACTGTATGGGACTCTGATCCAGTATAACGAGGTTACTTCCATTCCCAAAATTCAAGAACGTGGACTGTAGCGATTGTGCAAGGCTTGCATGAACACGTTCTTTCTCATGCTACTCAGGAGTGGCCTAGCACGTATGGAACAAATGCTGTCTGCTATATTGAGATGAATTATTTCATGATTCCACTGTATAACATATCATTAGTAGAATATTTGAATAAAGTTACCACAATAGTTTCTCCAACTTTTCTCATAGAAGGTGGTATCATCTCAGAAGTTAAACTTGCTGGAGGGTCTATGCCATTGAGCTTTTGCTTAATGAACCACATAGCTAAGGCAAATTGTTCCTTGTTCAGTTTACCATTTTGACAAGTATCACATAAACTCCTAATTCATAACATTAAATATATCTCTATTATAATCATCATTAGTAATTTTTGACAAATTCTTATAAGATCACACTTCTCTCACCATATATGTGCTAATATAGTATGCGGAAGTCCACTTTGTAGGAAGACATCTTTGATTTCTGTACCAGAGACAAATCCATCCCTATCCATGTCAGCTTGTGAAAACAGTTTCTCCGCAATTATTTGATCCTCAGTAGAAACGACCCATTGTTGCATGCCTGTCTGTAAATATATAAAGCACGAACAACTATTGATAATGTGGAAATATTATGGAAGTGTTATTAGTTTTTTAATTACAGTCCAAGAGATAAATACTTTTACAACATCTAATCCAGTCAAGCTCTTTACAGCCGTCGTATTTGGCAAAGGTGGAATTGGTGGTGGTTGCGATGATGGTGATGCTGCTGCTACTATGCTCATTGGTATAGGAGATTTAGCCTTAGGAATTATATCTTTTCTTTTACCAAGTGGCATTAATTCTGGTGGAAGTACATTTGGTATCGCATATTTTTCCAGTGCTTTATATACAAGATGCATGGCCTATGTAATAATAATCAGAATTGTATAAAAAAAAAGAATAACTAATAAAAATATTATATATAAAATGACAAAGCGGCCGAGGTATTTCGCGCGATACGTTCTTGGTTTAAAAAAAAAAAAAAAAAAAAAAAAAAAAAAAACATCAATATTATATAAATAAATTATATTTCTTGAGTTAATACTGCAGCAGTAAAATATGCAAAAGTAATTCAGTCCACATGTAAAAAAGAATTAATTAACTTGTAATTTTATATATGTGTGTGTGTGTGTGTGCTCTTATATTAGTTATATTATTACTTATATACTGTTATATTAGTATATACTTACAACTACAAATTCATGCCTATCCAGCATACCATCCTTATCCATATCCGCTAAATCCCAAATTTTTCCAAGAGTATCTAAAGGAAGTTTGCTATCCATAAGAACACCTTTTACTTTATTTCCAGATATATATCCATTGGATGGCTGTAAGCTATCAAAAAGTTGATCATATTTTGCTCGCTCTGTAGGATTAATTGACCAATCTCCATTGTTAATAGATGTTATTACTGGCAGAGCATTAGTAATAGTCTTCTGTGGAATAACTGGTATATCTCCCTGATAAAAAGATATACAATGTAGGATTTGTTCCAGTTAAACAGGCATATAACATATAGATAAATTTACCATTTTTGGTGGTGGCAATTCAAGACCCAAATTAGACATATTTAAATCCTTTCCTGTCTGAGCTAATGCACATAGTTTCAAAGCGACAAAGAGCCCAGACTTATCTAAGAAACCACGTGATTGTGGATCAGCCATATCCCATATTTTACTTAGAATAACATCACTCAGCTGGGATTTCTTAAGAAATCTTGCAGCATCCATTGCTTCAATTTGTCCATATCCATTTGGATCAATCTAGAAACAATAGATGGTATTTTTTACTCACATATAACTGCTTATACACTTTATAAAAGTATCTGCTTTTTTTTTTTTTGTAGACGATATATACCTGATTATAATAAGCTTCATAGATCGCACTATGGCTTCCAGCCACCTATAACAGAACGATATTCATATTCACTGATAATTTGTATTTCTTACAAAATAAAGCAATAATAATAAACATAAATAATAAATAATATGCACATAATTCAATAAGAAAATAATCAATGAAAGAATGACAAGAAATTTATCAACGCTTATTTTTATCGAATATATGATCGATAAATCATCAAAAATAATGGAGTATTTATTTAAAAGACAAATTAAAATTTATCGGAGATATATGTAAAATGATACTCCGCCATCGAATCAGAATACCTCGAAATTGTCCGAGGCATTACCCTGATAAAGAATCGAAAATTCAGCGATAAGGACAATGATTTGGCGCGGATTACAATAAAATTTCATGAAAAGAAACTCTCTCGATATATGTGAGCCAATGTATCAAATGTTATATCCTCATAAAATTGTTAAAATTGCAATGTACCTGCGTAGGTGACGGCAGGGCGGCCATGCTTGCATTAAATACTGGCTTAACCAATCAGACTCTCAATCGATAGCATATGATTTTAACTATTTCGTTAAGCATGTCACACGACGGATGTATTTTAATATCATTGATATTTCGAATTATTATTATTATCACACCTCCTTATCATGGACTCGTAACTGACGATCGCATGTGACGGACGAAGAGAAAATTATCATGGAAATTCTTTATAATATACACATTAAAAATTTCTATTTGTCCAAAAGAATTTTTACACTGTACCCGCCTACTATAAGTGCCGGTCTACAATAGGTGATTTAAGCCCTAAGCCTTCGTGCCGGTCTACAATAGGTGATTTAAGCCTTAAGCCTTAAGCCCGTATCAGACTACGCATTGAAAATTGAAGATTGAAGATTAAAGATTGGAATTTTTAATCAGAATAAAAGGAACTAAAATTTCTTTGTCCTGATTGGTCAAATTTCAATCTTCAATCTTCAATCTCAATCTTCAATGCGTAGTCTGATACGGGCTTTAAGAAATTGACCAATCATACTCCAGGATGAGAAGAATACTCGACTGTGATTAGTCAATTTCTTAAGTGCCGATCTACAATAGGTGATCTAAGCCCTAAGCCTTAAGAAATTGACCAATCATAATCAAGTATGAGAAGAATACTCGACTGTGATTAGTCAATTTCTTAAGGCTTAGGGCTTAAATCACCTATTGTAGACCGGCACTAAAGGCCCTTTCACAATGCCAAGCAATAGACAATAGAAACAGGGAATAGGGAATCGATTGTGTATCTTTGTAACGAAGTAAAAATTACAAAACTGAACAGATTTACTAGATTTTGGCAAATGAAATTTTCACCAAGCTCGGTTAGATGAACCGACGGTTAAAATTAGCAGGATTCCAACTGAAATGATATGAATACTTGGTTTTCCTTCACCTCTATTTTCTGTTGGCCACCCTGCTAATTTTAACCGTATTAGGGCTCTTACGACTGCATTGTAGACCCCGCATTAGTCTTCTCTCTGTATTCTGTATGTAGTCATAACCCTATTTTCCATGGAGTTTACTGAAGGAACTATTATTTGATTGACAATTAGTTACGCGCACGAAGATTTATTATCTTTATTTTAATCGAAATGGATTCTTATATAATGCAGGTAATATGAAAAATTGATAAACATACTCATATGATATTAAAATTGATGTTTTATCTTATTTTTCATTTTTTAGATTCGACGAACATGGCTTAATCAGGATGGGGAAGCATTGGCAGTAAGTTATACACGAATATATTTTAATCAAAGATGATTATATAGATCGTGTATAAATGTTATCTTTTTAAAGGATCTCTTATCTCTAAGACACAATCACGTCTCAATATCGGAAACTGGCATAATGAAGGCTGTAGAACATTTATCTGCACCATTAGATGATTTGGTACTTTGTCACTTAAAGTAAGATATATTAATTTTCTTTAATATATATATATATATATTTATACATTAAAATACATACTTTACATTGGATACTATATTTATTTTTCTAGAGCTACATCTGCTATGAACAAGAAGGATGCCCTTACTATGTATAATTTTCAAAGTTCGGCTGTACAATGTCTTGCTAAGATTCTCCAAATGCAAAAGGAAGAAAACTGGATGTTGCCAGTAATGAATATAATGTGTTTAGAATTAAGATTATCCGCGATAGCTGCAGAAAATTCAAAGTGTAACAAAAATATAAAGCATGGAGAAGTTCTTGAGAAGTGTGCCGAATGTTTGATGGCTTGTTTCCGTGTTTGTGCAGCTGATAATAGAAGTTCAGAAGAAGATACAAAACGATGGGGAATGCTAGCCTTAATTAATCAATTACTGAAAGTTTATTTTAGAATTAATAAATTACATTTGTGTAAACCTTTGATACGGGCTATAGAGTCATCTCCTTATAAGGACCACTTCGCATTGGCACAACAAATTACATATAAATTTTTTGTTGGTCGAAAAGCAATGTTTGACAGTCAATATAAAATGGGTAAGTACACTTTTCTGTAGCTTTACAAGCACAATCATTTTGTAATTTATTTCATTGAAATAATGACATGAACAGATAAACTGCAAAATTGTTTCAGCTGATGAATACCTGACTTATGCATTTGAACATTGCCATATACAATGTACAAAAAATAAGAGATTGATCTTAACTTATCTTATACCTGTGAAAATGTTATTAGGATATATGCCAAAACAAAGTCTTTTAGAAAAATATAATTTAATGGAATTCTGGGAGCTTATGGAGTCTGTAAAAAAAGGAGATTTACGTTCTTTGGAAGGAGTAATGGCAAAACATGAAATCTTTTTTATAGATGCTGGCATATATTTAATCGTGGAAAAACTGAAACTGATTGCTTACAGAAATTTATTCAAAAAAGTATATTTAGCATTAAATACACATCAAATACCAGTTCAAAGTTTGCTCATAGCATTACAAATAAATGGGATGGAGGATATAGATATGGATGAGACGGAATGTCTTCTTGCAAATTTGATATATGAAGGCAAAATTAAAGGCTACATATCTTATCAACATAAAAAGTTAGTTATATCTAAACAAAATCCTTTTCCTCCGTTATCTACGATTGTATTATAAATGACTGTAATTGTAATTTATATTCCTATTATTTTTCCAATAAATATATTTTATTTTTTACAATTTTATTATAATACTATTGTAAATACAATATTATAAAATAAAAACCTAAAAAAAAAATTATCAAAGAAAGTGAGTATATTCAAATCAATATAAGATAAAAAGATTTTTTAAAGAAATTATATATCATCTCTGTCATTTCCAATCATTGAATTCTTCTAATTGGAATCAGTGCAGGTAGTGTCTATTATTCAAATGTTCGATCTTTGTTTTTAAAATTAGCATTGGATTGGCAAAATAACTTATTTAAAGGTCTGTCTACAATATGTGGAATAAGGATATAATACATTTATGAAAACAAAGCATGCATTTTTATATTAAATGCATATGAAATGACTTTATTCTTCCTATGATAAAAATAAAAATGGGGATTAAAAGCGAAATTTCACAATATGAATATTCAGTTATAATAATAATACTAAAAGAGATTGGTCTATTTTGTACATTCGCTATCTTTTATTTTAAAATTTAGATACAGTATATAATTGTCTCATCAATATTATTTAATTAAAAAACGTAATTAAAAACTATATTCTTTTCAAATATTATTATAATTAATACAAATAAATTAAAAAAAGCATTTACGAATTAGCATATCGTTAGCATTTACGAATTAGCGCAATTTTTAACGTGCGTACTTTATTGTAATTAGTCAACAATTATTGCTGTAAAAGCAAATGAAATTTATTTAATTTTATATATCGAGATCTTGAGTAACAGTATTTATGTATTTTTATTTGTTCAATGTTAATTTTATTTTATAAGCATTATATCTGATTTAAACATCATGTTATTATTTATAATTAATATTATTTTTGACAACTTTATTTTATTTTACACATTGTCGTCTGATTAGTGACCACTTATGTAACTATATAATTTGAATTCTTTATTATTAATTATTTACGCTGATGATGGCCCAAAAAAAAAGAGTCCGAAACGTTCGCTTTTGCAGCAATAATAGTTAACTAATTACAATAAAGTACGTGCGTTAAGAACTGCGCTGCTATTTTTAATTTATTTGTATTAATTTTTTAACAAACTGTATGTTTATTATTAATTTATTATTATATCTGTGGTATCGATTAGCGCGGACCTCTATAAAATCCTCTACCGACGTTGTAGTTGGCAAATCCTGTAAAATTTTTTTAATGTGTTTGAAGTTTTTTGTTAATTGTACGATTTATTCATAATATAAAATTTTTTCATAATATATTAACTTTCATAAAATAAAAGAGACTACTTAAAATTCTACATATTGTCAATCTTCAATGGATCACATAAATTGATTTTCTATTATCAATATTCTTCAATAGAGTACAGAATATTAAATTGTAAATGTAAGATATCCATTAAATTAGACATGCAATTACAAGAATTATTAATTAAATCATTTGGAGATTCCTATTGTTGAAATGATCTTGTTATGCATTATCTTTATAAGAATCAAAGAGAGGAAATTTATCTCTACTTGAAATTCTATTTGAAAAATTAAGAGAATAGTGGCCTCAAAATATCAAGAAAATATATTCGAAAAAAATTGTATATTTTTTTATTTTTTATTTTAAACTTAAAACTTTTACAAAATCTTTTTCTGAGAAAATTTCTCATACATTAAAAGATCAGAGATTAAAATAATAAATGATTATTCTATTTCTTCATTTCCAAATTAAAAGTTTTATATATTTGTTAGAATAGAAAAATAAATTTTTTTATCTTTTCTATTACACAGTTTTTCTCTCGTATCTTTTTTCGTGCTTATAAAATATAGGCAGATAGCAAAGAGAGAAAAATGTAACTCTCTTTTTAATTTATGCAATCTATATTTTAATGTTTCTATAAAATATAGTATTAATCAGATTCGACTTCAATAAAATATGAAACAAACTAAATAATGATAACAAATCAGAGTACGACATCAAAGAATGAAAATAAAGGAAACGGAACTGTAGAATAATTCAACCACAAAATTTAGCAGAAAAATTTGATCTAAGACAATCTAACTCTCAGTCAATGATATGCAAACTTACTGAGAGGATATGGTTGCCATCTGCTCATACCCGGTGGAAATGGCGCAGGAAACATTGGCGCGATAGGCCAGATCATGGGCGGCGCCTGTATTCTGTACATCGGCATCGATCCAGGAAAACGCTGAAGCAAATATCATTTTGTACAAGCTCTGTGATCTAAATATTGACTGAATTCGCTCAATGTGAATATTTCAAATAATCGATCAGTTTTTTAACTCTATAACTCTTTCAATATTGAGCGATTTAAGTGAAAGCATTTTAATCAATTCGTATTATCAGTTTCTTTAATATTACACTTAGTGCCGGTCTACAATAGGTGATTTAAGTTTTAAGCTTTAAGAAATTGACCAATCATAGTCAAGTATGAGGAGAATACTCGACTGTGATTAGTCAATTTCTTAAGGCTTAGGGCTTAAATCACCTATTGTAGACCGGCACTTACCATATCGTAAAAGCTATACGAAGGAATATAGCTTGAGGCTTGTGACAATGATACTCGATCATCCGGTTCACGTGATCGATTTCTTCTAGATGAAAACTTATTTTCACCAAAATCTTTCTTGCCTTTTTTGGCTCTATTTGAGGGCGAACTACTTCTGTTTCTAAAATTTAAAAAAAAAAATTATTTTTTATACTTTATATCCGACAAAAATGTGTTTTAGGGCTATACTTAAGTCATAACTTCATTACAATATAACAAAGAAGTTTTGCTCGAAATATCAGAAAAGTATAGCGATATTTTTCTAATTGCACAATTTTTAAACCTCATATTAATTAATATACAGAATAGTCCATAAACTCGAAACACTTCAGAACATATATTTATTAGAACTTCTTTTTTTTTACTGAAATTTCTGAATTTTTTTTCCCATTTTATAAATAAGTTTTATTCCTTTTATATATATATATATATA